ATGCACTATATCCTAATAACAATAACTACAAGACTGTAGGTTAGAACTTTGCACTTCCTTGAAAATCTTAGGATGAGTCAAGAGTGGCAGTGAATACTCAGCCCAGAGGGAGAAGGGGCTAATATGGGGGGTCATGGGCTGCTCCAAGTGCAGGAGAGGCCTCCTGTCTAAGTTACTGCAATTTTTGAGGGGCTGCCACACAGCCAGGAATCTCTGCATCAGTGTACTGCTTCCCTGCCCACAACACAGTCCATACATCAGGACCTGTGATGGGGTTATTGAAAGGAAGACTTATGGTTGTCTCCACAGTACATGTGCTGAAGGAAATCCTCTTTCAGCCTCAGCTGGGGCTTTTAGGGTCCCCTTATGCCATTCTGGCCCTTTTACACAAAGTTAGGAGCTGGCACATTGGTGAGGGTCTCACCCTCAATATTTTACCCTCATAACACCAATGTGCAAAGAGGATAGTACTAATTTCTTATTTCTTAGGTAGGTAGCTAAGTCACAGAAGAATTAGAGGCCCAATTCTGCTACCATTAACATCAGTGAGAGTAGGCCCTCTAAGTAGGCCCTTACCTGTCCCAATATAGGCTGTGACCCTAGCAGTGGAAAGTCCAGCCAGAGCTAGATGATGTCCATAAGGCATGATGCAGGGACAAAGCACTGGGAGATATGGTAGAGAGATGAAGGGTGTTTCAGTGGTTAGATTGCTATCCTAGGACTCAGGAGACCTGGTTCAATTTCTTGCTCCACCACAGACTTCCTGTGTGACCTTGAGCATATCACTCAGTATGTACCTCAGTTCCCCATCTGTAAAATAGGGATAATAGCACTTTCCGATCTCACAAGGGAGTTGGGACAACAAACACATTCAAGAGTGTGAGGTGCTCAGATGCTACAGTAGTGGGGGCAATATAAAATACAGAAGATAAACAGATGGGCTGATTCAGTGCTTTTTGGGAGCAGTTCCCAGGGAATCCTCTTCGATGGAGTCCCAGCTGCAGCTGAAGGTAGACCTCCATAGGAAGGAAATGCTACTGCCTTTGCTGTCCCTAGCTATCTTAGAGTTTTATACTGCTCACCGTCACCATAGCATATGACTGCCTTCAGCATAAAAATCAATAGCAATAGCAAAGTCCCTTGTGGACTTTGTGGAGTCTGACACTTCTTTCTTTACGGGGTTAAACTCTGCTTGAGGCACAGGTTTTTGAGGGGAGGTGGGAGGTTGCAAGAGGTATGAAAATAAAAACAGGTGTTTGAACGGTGAGCATCACTTATGGTGGAAACTTACTGGCAGCTAAAGGCATGGCATCTCCCTCTCTCTCTCTCCCCCAACGGTCTCATGTAGATACTGAAAGGAATAAATGATGTGGGTTCCCATGGGATCCTGCAGGTAAGGGGTTTTAGAAGAAGGAGCAGTTACTCATCATCACTCTGAGTTCTGCTGGAGTGGAATGATTGGCGTCTCTGTAGTGATGGGCCATTTACTCCTGTTATATCATGTAGGTGTATTAGTAATACTTTGGGTCCACTGTGTCAAAGCTGAAGGGATGTCCAGCAGTATGGGCACTGAGATCTTACCTTGTGTCCATGGCCATGAGGAGACAGTCTTTTAATATTGTGAGAGCAGTCTCCTTGCTCTCCCCAGTCTAAACATTGATTGTGAGGCAACAAAGATGTTGGCTGATGTCACATGTTGTTGGAGCTTGGTGGTTACTACTTGCTCAATTATTTTGACCAGGAACTGGAAGTTGGAGACTGGACAATAGTGGAGAGCTCCTCAGGGTCAAGCGTTGGCTTCTTGAGGACGGATGAACGATGTAATTTTTTCAAGTAATTTGGTTAATGTGCTTCTCTGAAGGAGTCACTATTTCCATTAGTAGTGGGCATAGCTACTGTTCTCTGGCTTTTACCAGCAAGAGGAGCAGGGATCTATTTAATAGGTTTGTTACTTTAATAATTTTTCAGAGTTTCTTCATCTTTGGCATGTGTGATGAGGCCAAACTCAGTCAGCAGTGATGGGGCAGATAATACAAGCTGGTCACAGGTGGAATTTTCTTTCCCAGTTAGCTCAATACATATTCTACAACTACAACCATTACTTGACAGGGACCCCATCCTGAAAAAAGTCTTTCTGCCCTTCAAACAACTCCCTTACCTCTCCAAGCTAATCATCAGAAGCAAGCTCCCCATAGACCAGAACACACTACCTCAAAAGCAGCACCAAACCCTGCCAGAACAACAGATGCAAAACCTGCAAACATATCTTCACTGCAACACCCTCCCACCACAACACACCTTTGACAATCCATGAGTCCTAACCATCCTTGTCACAACCTGTGATGTACCTTATCCAATGCACTAAATGCTCCAATAGCAATGATGTGAGAGAAACCAGACAATCACTACACTCTTTAATGAACTCTTACAGGAAAATGATAGAAGGCAAAGACTATGTCTACACTAGTACTTTTGTCAGTAAAACTTGTTGGTCGGGGTGTGGTTAAAAAAACCCAGACAGACGTAAGTTTCACTGACAGCAATGCCCGTGTGGACAGTGCTATGTCAGCAGGAGACACTCTCCCACCAGCATAACTACCGCCACTCATTGGGGTAGTTTAATTATGCTGACAGGAGAGCTCTCTGCTGTTGACATAGAGCGGCTACATGGGAGACCTTACAGTGGTGCAGCTGCAGCAGTACAGCTGTGCTGCTATTAGGTCTCTAGTGTAGTCATAGCCAAAAACACCCTATCGCCTGTAGGCGAACACTTGTAGCAAAAGTGATCACTCTATATCTGACCTATCAGTCCTGCTCCTCAAAGGAAACCTTCACAACACTTTCAAAAGACAAGCCTGAGAGCTTACATTCATAACTTTGCTAGACACCGAAAATCATGGACTAATTAGAAACACTGGATTTATGGTTTATTGCAGCAATCTGTAACCCACTAACAACTCCCCCAGCAGCTTCTCCCCTCCCCTTTCCTCCCTATGACTGATGGGGTGTTAAGAGGCCACTTCACCTTGAAATATGTGATAATTACTTACGCTAAACATTCTGTTCAAACCTTGTATTTAGCACTGACACTTCTTAGTTTCCCAGACCTGAAGAGCTCTGTGTAAGCTCAAAAGCTTGTCTCTCTCACCAACAGAAGTTGGTCCAATAAAAAATATTACTTCACTCACCTTGTCTCTTTAATATCCTGGGACTAACATGGCTACAACACTGCATACAATACATATTTTGATGATCTTATCAGGGGAGCATGTTAACAGCTCTTTGCAGAGCTTGATACTTGAGACTGGTGTCTGGATTATGCAGTATGGATTGACTAGCCACCTCACTCCAGAGAGGAAGGCCCCTTAAGAGTGTCTGGTTTCAGAGTAGCAGCCGTGTTAGTCTGTATTCGCAAAAAGAAAAGGAGTACTAGTGGCACCTTAGAGACTAACAAATTTATTTGAGCGTAAGCTTTCGTGAGCTACAGCTCACGTCATCAGATGCATTCAGTGGAATACAATGTAGAGTAGGTTTCAGAGGAACAGCTGTGTTAGTCTGTATTCGCAAAAAGAAAAGGAGTACTTGTGGCACCTTAGAGACTAACCAATTTATTTGAGCATGAGCTTTCGTGAGCTACAGCTCACTTCATCAGATGCATACCGTGGAAACTGCAGCAGACTTTATATACACACAGAGAATATGAAACAATACCTCCTCCCACCCCACTGTCCTGCTGGTAATAGCTTATCTAAAGTGATCAACAGGTGGGCCATTTCCAGCACAAATCCAGGTTTTCTCACCCTCCACCCCCCCACACAAATTCACTCTCCTGCTGGTGCTAGCCCATCCAAAGTGACAACTCTTTACATAATCAAGTCAGGCTATTTCCTACATAGATCCAGGTTTTCTCACATCCTCCCCACCCCCATACACACACAAACTCACTCTCCTGCTGGTAATAGCTCATCTAAACTGACCACTCTCCAAGTTTAAATCCAAGTTAAACCAGAACATCTGGGGGGGGGGGGTAGGAAAAAACAAGAGGAAACAGGCTACCTTGCATAATGACTTAGCCACTCCCAGTCTCTATTTAAGCCTAAATTAATAGTATCCAATTTGCAAATGAATTCCAATTCAGCAGTTTCTCGCTGGAGTCTGGATTTGAAGTTTTTTTGTTTTAAGATAGCGACCTTCATGTCTGTGATTGCGTGACCAGAGAGATTGAAGTGTTCTCCGACTGGTTTATGAATGTTATAATTCTTGACATCTGATTTGTGTCCATTTATTCTTTTACGTAGAGACTGTCCAGTTTGACCAATGTACATGGCAGGCATTTTTGCCCCTCTGCCATGTACATTGGTCAAACTGGACAGTCTCTACGTAAAAGAATAAATGGACACAAATCAGATGTCAAGAATTATAACATTCATAAACCAGTCGGAGAACACTTCAATCTCTCTGGTCACGCAATCACAGACATGAAGGTCGCTATCTTAAAACAAAAAAACTTCAAATCCAGACTCCAGCGAGAAACTGCTGAATTGGAATTCATTTGCAAATTGGATACTATTAATTTAGGCTTAAATAGAGACTGGGAGTGACTAAGTCATTATGCAAGGTAGCCTGTTTCCTCTTGTTTTTTCCTACCCCCCCCCCCCCCAGATGTTCTGGTTTAACTTGGATTTAAACTTGGAGAGTGGTCAGTTTAGATGAGCTATTACCAGCAGGAGAGTGAGTTTGTGTGTGTATGGGGGTGGGGGGGATGTGAGAAAACCTGGATCTATGCAGGAAATAGCCTGACTTGATTATGTAAAGAGTTGTCACTTTGGATGGGCTAGCACCAGCAGGAGAGTGAATTTGTGGGGGGGGGTGGAGGGTGAGAAAACCTGGATTTGTGCTGGAAATGGCCCACCTGTTGATCACTTTAGATAAGCTATTACCAGCAGGACAGTGGGGTGGGAGGAGGTATTGTTTCATATTCTCTGTGTGTATATAAAGTCTGCTGCAGTTTCCACGGTATGCATCTGATGAAGTGAGCTGTAGCTCATGAAAGCTCATGCTCAAATAAATTGGTTAGTCTCTAAGGTGCCACAAGTACTCCTTTTCTTAATGTAGAGTAGCTGTATCCCAAGATGCTAGGAGTGCATTTGTGAGGAGTAAATCAAGGCAAATGAGTCAGTGGCACAGTTGGAAATAGATCACAGGAAGCTTGACTCCTATTCCTCTCTGATGACGCAGTAATGTACTCTAACCTCTACATATTAGTTTGATATATTTAAAAAAAAAAAAGAAAGCTAAATTATCACTTTTCATCTTCATAGAAAATGTAGGTATGTGATACAAAATATGGGTGAGTATAAAAAGATTTTTAATATATTTAGACTTGTTTTTAAGCATAATTATATTTATGTCAGATTGTTTTATCGTGCTTATATTTTTCCTTGATCTAGCGAGATTAAGCTGAGTATTTTTTCAGTTAGGAAAAGAAACCTGTACTGCACCACTCTGGATACTTCCAGTTATCTGACTCCATTGTCTATGTGCTTGAAAGGACATAACCTTTACAAATGTTTTGTCAACAGAATCTTGTGTTTAATATTGTAAAGACTTGTTTAACATGATTTCCTTCATAAGGAATTCGTTAATACTGGCAGCATTCAGTCTGGTGCAGGAAGACCTAGAGAAACACTAGCAGATGCACAGGTACTAACTGGAGTGAGTTAGTTTGACAAAAGGAGTGTGTTGAATGCGATCACTATAATGGGCCCAGTCGGGTGGTTACTCTGTGTATGTTATTGAGCGCAACAGAACATTTGTACAGTATTCAGAAAGGCTTTGTTATCAAGGCACTATAGCAAGTCTACTACTTTTTGCTAACTGCCACTTTGGAATTCATTTGTAAATGTAATAATTGTGAATCACAAAAAACATATTATCCCAAACTCTATCACTTACAATAGTGCCACTAGAGCATATGAAGCTATTATTTTAGAATATGTCAGTGGCTTTTTTTTTTTAAAGGGAATGAATGCTGAACAGGTCTGAATACTAAAAATAAATCCAAATCCCTTGTTCTACCATCAGTATTGGAAAATGGTCATAAAGCCAGGGGACAATAGTTAAGGGAACTCATATTGGGAATCCTTTGGTGGCATAGGGTTTCTGTAGTGACTTCCGCAGACCCTCCCAGTGCAGGAAGCATGGACAGGATTTTCCTATGTCTATGACCCAGCTTCTAGAATAGCCCTTTGGAGTTGCTAACAGCAGAAGTTAGAAAAGTCCAAATGTCAGGGCCCAAATGTCAGAAGAGCATCAGAGTGACTTTTCTTGAGCTGTGCTGTACAGAACTTGGCTGGAGCCTGTTTCTGGGCTAAGCAGTACCATTACAAGTATACATCTGAGTGTTGATATATCTTCATATATATAAGACCATAGTCCTCCTGGAGATATAAATAATCAATCTGAACAATGGAAGAATTCTCTAATAAAGTTATAGGGCCAGATTCACTCCTGATTTATCCCAGCTTCTACCCACATAAATCAGGAGCTCTGGGGACAGACAGTCAACTGGAGGCAGGTTACGGTGGTGCAACCGCATGCTTAGGATGTGGGTAGTGAATAAAGCTGACTGGAGAAGAGGTGAGATAGAGCAGGTGGGAGAATGTGCTGTTTCACCCCATCACTACTGCAGTGTCACTGGTGGGACTCTATGGAGATTACGGCAGCCCTGCCCTAAGACAACCTCTGAGGAGCTACATACAATTTGCATCTCCTATAATATGTAAAAAAGCCTGGTTAGGAAAGGAAGGTGCAAATCTGTGCTAGCCCTGCACTTGCTCTAAATGAAGATAATGACAAAATTCCCTTTGACTTCACTGGAAGATGATCAAGTCTTAATATGGAAATATAGGGTAAAAACACTGAAATATGTAAAGTTATTCCAGTTGGATCTATTTCTAGTGTTGTGACAGTTTATCCTCATGGTCTCTTCTGAATCTATTTGTAGACTTGAAGTTACATCTACAGACCACAGACTATGGCAACTTCTTGGCCAATGAAACTGGCCCTCTCACCATTTCCACCATTGATGACAAACTGAAAGACAAATTACTCACAGAATTTCAATACTTTAGAAACCATGCCTTTGAGCCACTTGCCACGTTTCTGAACTTTATCACGTAAGTTAAGTTACCTCTTTATTTCAATTGCCACATTATTCAAAGTAAGTCAGGGTAAATTTCTTGTTCTCGCAATTTACACACAGCTGGCCAATAAGTGAAATTTATTTAATACTGTACCATTTTTAAAAAGTGTAACTCAGTGTTTAGAAATCTAAATAAAAGTCTGTTCTTATTTGTTACATCATGAACTAACAGTTTCAAAGTTGTATTACTTGTTTGGCGTGGAGGAGGTGAGATGGGGAGGAGAAATTTACATTTTTCAAAAGATAATTGTTTTTAAATTAGGGTTTGGATTTTTGGGGCAAGATGAAGAAACTAATGATATAGAAGATAGGATTTCTAATGCAGAGTACATACTCTATATTTCCATCCAGATAGCAAACTCTGCATCTTGTTTCAAGGTGGCAATCTAAATATGAATTTCTGTGGTCTTTAGTGAGATGTTTAGATCCTAGTAGCTTTATTTTTGAAAGATCTAAGTGCTATTTGATCTGGTCTTGACTTTAACAACATATTACTGAGAGAACATAGACCTGATTTATGTTGGTTTGGATGCTTTAGCAAAATCACCTCTTCTCTGTAGTAAACACTTCAGTACACATTCTTATCTTTTAATACATGGTGACTGTGACAAACTTGCAAGACTTTACTTCCCAGCTTAGTTTGGGGTAGTAATATTTTTTCCTGACACAAAAGTAAAGTATCATTAATTTTTTCCTCAGTATCATCATAAAGATTGCTGAGTTAATTTTGTGCATGGACTAATAAACACGGTGATTCTGAAAGACCGCACTAGGACAGTTATGCACTAGAACCATGCAAAATTCACAATTCTTATTTTACAGAATTTCATTCAAAAATTATTGCTGTTTTCATTTCACAGTTTTGCATGCACACATTCCCCTCCCCCATCAGCATACACTGTGGTGTTTTGCAGTAGGGATAGTACTTTCGTAGTACATCACATACCTTTCACTTCACTAAGCTACATGTCCAAAATCCTTTAATCTCCTTTCAAAATTTGCATAGGAAATTCAGAATCAGCGAAACAAAACTGAAGAGTAATATCCATTCTTTAAATGTCACAGGTAAAACACTATGGAAATCTATTCTGTCCACATGTGTTACAGCCCCAAAGTTCCTCAGGGTCATAGCAACACGATGTCCATGAATGATAGGTTTTGCATTTCAATTTCAGAGTTACTGAAAAGGTCCAGATCATTCACTCTCATGGTAAACCCACAGAAGACTGCTAAGAGGGAAGAAATCTCTGTGAGGATCCCTATAGCCATGGGGCTGGTCTCAAGGATGCCGAGGGATCTGCAGGAGGCCAGGATCTTCCCCTGAGCTCTGTAGTTATAGTGTCCACCAGTCATGATAGCTCACTTAAAAGAATAACTCCATCAGCAGAAGTGGTTCTAGAGGAACTTTGAATACAGGCACGTTAGATACTTGCAGTTATCCTTATGTTCCCCATGGGAAACAGCAGTATCCCCAAATAGCAACAGCTTCTAGTTCATCAGATGTACTTTTGATGCAATATATTAGTAGATCTTAAATCAGAATCACATCCTGAGGCTGCAATGCTGCATAAGAAGACTTACCATACATTCATGCTTACTCCTTTCTTTAGAACAAGTCCAAAAGCACTTATGTCAAAGCAACACCAGCATTCAAAATTAAGGTTATCTAGCAGCCATTTTTCTGTCTGTGAGATGTTGATATTTGAATAGATGAAAACAGAGCAAGTACTTTGGTGGTTTATGGTCTGTAGGGTTTTTTTTTATATTTAAGAAATAAATAATGTTGTTTTTTAACCTTTTTTTCAAACTCAGGTACAGCTATATGATTGACAACGTGATTCTGTTGATAACTGGTACACTGCATCAGCGACCCATAGCTGAACTTGTTCCCAAGTGCCACCCTTTGGGCAGTTTTGAGCAAATGGAAGCAGTCAGCATTGCCCCAAACCCTGCAGAGCTATTCAATGCAATTTTGGTTGACACACCATTAGGTATGAAAATGTAATGATCTGTCTGCAGATGCTCCTCTTCACATATTCCTGATAATTTCATTTCAGAACACACCAGCAGTTGTTTCACCAGATATTATATGATTTAATAATTTAACCTATGAGTAATTGGCAAGTGAATTGCAGGACAAGATGCAGTTTTGAAGTGGTATTTTGTGCATTTCACAAAACAATTTTAAAATAAGACAGTTGATTAACAATTTTTATTTAACCCGAATAGAAGTCACATATAGAAAATATGCTACTCTAGATCAAATTTTTATAGCTTACTTTCAGAAATATCAAGGGACTCTGATAATGGTTGAATTCTTATTTCAGAAGTGTACTGTAAACATATGCCAACAGCTGTTTCCGTAAATGAATCATTTAGGACAACTCCTGCCCATGTCTCTTTAGGTGCCAAGGTCCTTGGTAATGGCACCAGTTATTATTATTAAATATTTATTTTATGGCAGTGCCCAAAAGCCCCAGCTGCGTGTGGGCACCCATTGTGCTTGGCACAGTGCAAACACAGAAAGAGCCGATCCCTGCATTGAATGGTTTACAATCAAAAGATAAAACAGACCAAGGAATGAGGTTGTGGATATAATATACAAGCAAAAGAATATGGTGAACAATTGGCATAGCTTTGTTAGTTACACTTACAGTAATTTTAAGTTATTCAACTGCACAAAGTGGGATAGGATTTTGTGTGCACCCTATGTGCTATGTTGAGCCCCACTCTGTAGGCATTCCCTGCGTAAAGGAGCTAGAGCAGGGATAGACTGGGGAAAGATTGGGGCTGGAGGATCCTTTGTTATATGGAGCCTCTGGTCCTTCCCCATATACAAAAACACACACGGAAGAGGTATGGCTAGGGAAGGGAGGCTACACCACCAATTGGGCTGGAGTACCCTCTGCAGAGCAGCTCCATGACCTGGGAAGGAAGATTCTTCTCTTCATTCCACTCTGGAAATCTCCCCAAAGCCCAGCCCAACTACTTGTGCTAAGTGCTAGGGAGTAGGTTAGGGCCTTAAAATAATTACTCTGTTAGGCATCCCCATCTGATGCTCTCTGGAGATTTGGGCACTGACAGCTAGATTGATTTCCCTTGTAGCAAAATCCCAGCATATAGAGAAAAATTAAGAGGATTTCACATATTTACCTTTCTGTTTCTCCTCCCACTTCCCCCTCAAATTACCTTTTATTGAAACCACAACTCCTTGATCGCTACCACAGAGTTTGTAGATTGCTACTGGTCAGGGATACTCACATATCTCCATATGAATTTATTCTGTAATTTAACAATTTCTGCTTTCAGCTCCTTTCTTTCAAGACTGCTTGTCTGAAAATGACTTGGATGAAATGAACATTGAAATAATGCGAAACAAACTGTACAAGGTAAATGCTTCTTAGAATACTATACTGTGAACTTCCTATAAAAGTGAAAAAAAATCGCAAGAAAATGATAGAACATCTGGAATTTGAGAACTATCATCATGTTCTATTTTTTAAAATGAAAATGCTGTGGGTGTAAACTAGTGTCTTAATCCATTTGCTTACGATTAACTAAAAGTCATTTTAAGTTGTCAACCAAACATCACAGCATTGTTGGATCTTAAGACATCCATAATAGGTTTTCTAGACTCCCACAATTTTTGGCATGACTAACCTTTCTCTTATTTACAAAAGGTAAATAACTTGAAGATTTCTAATTACTTCGATTCTACCACTTTAAATTCCATTTAGTAAAGTTCATTATTGACATTGTCTATGATCAGTAGAGTTGATTGAATTTTTTCAAATTTTGAAGTTTTAGTGTACATTTTTGAATGTTGACAAAAGGGAAAAATTGATGAAGTGTGTTAATTTTTTCAACCAGCTCTACATTTAAACTAAGTGTTTTGCTTAATTTTAATCCTGCTTTTTCTAGTCTGTAGCATTGCTACAGCAGCTTGTGAGAACAATTTCTTCTTTGTAGTATCTCATTCTGCACTTATTGGATGTTTACTGTAGCATAGTGATTTACATCTTCTCAGTGCTTTACGAATATTAATTAGTACATAGGACCATATCATATCATAGGCTATTTCCAGACTATACATATTTCATTCCCATAAATTTTCGTCCTAATCCATTCTCTTCAAACCTTTTAGTATCCTATTTGTTCAGCTATTTTCTTTCTTCCTTTCACAGCTGATGCCCCAAATTGTATGCAATATTCCTGTAATAGTGCAAAAGGGAAAAACTATTCATTTGGTCTTACAAGTATTATTTATACCTCCCAAGTCTGCATTTGCTTTTTAAATATTCAGTGCATTATTACCATTCATATTTACATTTTCATCAACAATTACACCCAGGGATTTTATTCTCCCACATTACTACTGTCCAGCCACTCATTTCTTATAACATATAGCTTTAATTTTTATATCCTATGTGCAATGCTTGTTAAATTATCCTTGTTAAATCTCTTTATATCCCTCTCTTCTCACTCCTCCAAATTATTGGGGGATCATTCAATATCTTCTAAATTATTAAAAATTTCCACATTCCCTGCCTTCAGATTAATGTCAGCTCTGAATTTTATCAATGAATTGTTTAGCCCTTCCTCCAGATGGTATTGTCCTGGGTCCATCATGGAACCCCACAGACAGATTCTCAATAGGTTGCCTCCATTTATGGTTAGCTGTTTATTATGTGGAGCTAGAGACTGCTTCCTTTAATAAGATTCTGTGATGTTGTAGCAAATGTCTTTCCACAACTTAATAGTAACAATGCCCTTAGAGGGGATCATAGGAAAAACAGCATGTAACTCAGAAAAATATTTACTAACACAAAGTTTACTTCTCGGGCACACAGGGGTTTCACTAAACAGATCATGTGCTGCGAAAGTTCCAAGGCAATTGGAGTGAGACTCCTCACCAGGTCACAGTGGCAGTGGATGTGCTGTACAGCCCCAAGCTGCAGTAGCTTTGTTGGCTGATGTGACCTAACTCAGGGTTTTGAGAGGCATGGGGCAGAGATTAGCTCATGTATCCGCCTAGTTACAGACTCACAGCTGTAGCACCTGTCCCCAAACCCCTCCTCTGCATTGAACTGCTGAGTTTCCCTCAGTCATTTGCTTCCTGTGCAGTGGCAGTTCATTGGATCTGGAGTCCAGAGGCCTTCAGCACCCTCTTTGGAGAGCAGGGAGAGTGCAGTATTTGTCCATTTCATCCTTTAGACGTTCTTAACATTTTAAGAGGAAGACATTTTAATTTTTCAGGCTCAATCTAGTAAAGCATTTAAACGCATGCTTACCTTTAAGTATGTAAGTAGTGCCATCAATTTCAACTGGAATACCCACATGCTTATGTGCTTTGCTGGACTGGGGCCTTAATGAAGTTCTATATAAAAAGTGTCTTTTTCTCCCTCTTTTCTCCTAGTCTTATCTCGAGGCTTTTTATAAGTTCTGTGAAAAACAAGGAGGCACCACAGCAGAAATAATGTGCCCTGTTCTTGAGGTAAGAAGAGTGCAGACCTTACGCATCTAAGTATTCCATGAGGCTTTTCTAGCTCAATTATTTAAAGTGCTTTTCCTGCTCCTTCCTTCTTTTCCCGATTTGTGAAACTACTTTGCCTGACATTCAACTTTTCTCTGAGTGACAACTGGTTTACTAGGATCTGATGAAAACACTTGTTTCAGGTCCAAATTCAACAATTACTTACAAAAGTAGCCATTCCATTTCAAGAGAGGAGTCAGCCTCAGTTAGTATTTTTCTATAACTGCCACAGTAGAAGAGTTACCAACCTGTACAGTAGTATCGGAGATCTCTTACATTTGTTAATACACTTGGTATAAGGAAGGAAAAAAGCTGATTTAGATTTTTTTAACACCTTTCCCCCTGACATTAGGTCTTGATATTGAAGGTCTCAAATCACTGATTTTTAAAGGGTATTAACTGGCAGAAATACAGTGTCGTAGAGGTTTGATTTTCAAAAGTGCTTATTGTTGGTCTAATTCTGCTCCCCTTGAAGTTAATTCTCCAAGTCAGAACTGAGTGACTTTTGAAATTTCCATCCTGCAGGAAATCCAGACATTTCAACACATTTGTTTTCACCCCAAATTGGCACACAGTAGAAATTTTGAATTTTTCTGTGGAACAGAAATTCCAGAATAACTGATTCAGAAATGTTGAAATGTTTTGTTTTGACAGTTTTCAAATGAAACAGTTTGACATTCACAAAACTGAAATGTTTCATTTGTTGTAATGAAGCAAAGTGCTTTGTTTAAAATAATTTTCAACTGCATTTCCCATTATACTACATTACAACTCCCATAAGGCATCTCAGAAGCTTGATGCCCCTATTTTCATCTATGGTAGGCCAGGCAGGGAGACTGCCCTACATCTCCCATGATGTGCCATACAGAGCTTGGTTAGAGTGAAATCTGTGTTGCATTGTGGGAGATGGAGTACTTGTGGCACCTTAGAGACTAACCAATTTATTTGAGCATAAGCTTTCGTGAGCTACAGCATTATGCATCTGATGAAGTGAGCTGTAGTTCACGAAAGCTTATGCTCAAATAAATTGGTTAGTCTCTAAGGTGCCACAAGACCTCCTTTTCTTTTTGCGAATACAGACTAACACAGCTGCTACTCTGAAACCTGTCATTATGGGAGATGTAGTCCTCCAGGGAGCTCAGACTATTGGAGAGAATGGAGGCCTATGAGTTGATATGGAAATGCAATTTAATGTTTTATTGAACTGATTCAGAATGAAACAACAGAATAAAAAACAAAATATTCCTATTTGGGTTGGTCTGATCCGAAATAAAATATTTCATTTCCACTTTCTGCACAAACTGAGATTTTCTTGTGGAAAGTTTCCATTTTGCAGAAATAGCATTTTCCATGAGAAAATAATTCAGCTACAAAATTCTCGACCAGCTCTAGTTGAAGTCAATGGGAGTTTTACCAGTGACTTCAGTGGGAGCAAGAGTATGCCCATGCTAAGCATTTTTGCGTATAGATCAGCCGGCTATCAGTGTAGAGTTCTTTATAGAAGCATTAGCCCCCATAACATTAAACTAATCTAAGGATATGTGTTGAAACATCTGTCTTTTTATAAAGACAGCTAATAAAGAAGTTTAATTATACGGACGAAGAAGAAGTTGCCATTTATACCGTACTTTCATACATATGCTCAGGTCTCACCCTGCAAACCTTACTCAAACGTGCAGCCATCCTGCAGTCAATGGAACTATAACCATAAGAAAGGGTTGCATGATCATTCCCCAAACTAAAAAAGTTACCATATTTAAATATAATTTAAATGTACATTGTCCTCAAAATACTATAGATATAATGGCTAAACGTCACCCTATATAGACATTATAGGTCAAATCCTCCTGCTTTCTCTACTTATGAAAGTAGACCTACTGGAGTTGATGTGCCTACTCACATTAGTAAGGCAAGTAGGATTTGGCTCTATTACTTATTAACCAGAAATCTTTTCATGCACACTTATTTTCTAATCATTTCCCCATTGTTTATTCTCTTTCCCTATGCTGAAGTCATGCCAGTGCAATCAGGTCACTGTTAGAACTTGTTCTAGTCTATGCTCAGGATCTAAGAATGTAAATCTGTTCTTAAATTTGCAAAACAATGTTGCAACTGCTAAAATGTAAACAAATTATATTGCTCAATAGAAAACTGTAATTCTCTGCTCACCAAAGCATTCTGAAAGTTCACACACTCGGAAGCACTTCACACTGCCTAAATTCTGCTCATGCTGGCTGTATTTTGGTCTGGATAATTCTCAAGCAAGCCCAGTAATTAGCTGAGCCATAACTTTTTTTAAAAAGGTACTGTGCTTTAAAAAAAGAAGAAAGGAAAAAAAGCTATTTTGGTCCCAAGTCAGTAAAAGAATTGGTAAACTTAAAGATCATTTAAACTTTCACTTATCTTTAAAATATGAATTAAATCCCTCAGGGTGATAAGTGAAATTTTCTCTTGTGCAGAGGAACAAAACAAGGCCTACATGTTGGCATGAATTTTACAGTTTTCCCTGCAGCAGTAGATAGAACTGACATCTAAAGCTGTCAGAAGAAACATAGCCCTCTGCTTTAGGTGTTAGTAATCATTTAGTGCAGAGAAAACACAGAAACCTGGAGGCTAGAACCTGGCAGGCAAAATGTTTCAGTTCACCTCTCCTACGTCCTTATCTGTTGTTTTAAGTCCTCTGCACATGTAGCAATTATTTTTAAACTTTTCCATTTCACCTTTAATCTCAATAGCAGCTCTCCAGAGACCTGAAGTTACTGAAATAAATGCGGTCTACTTTTGATCTCTCTCTCTCTCTCTTTTTTTTTTTTTTTTTTGTTTAAATGTGTTGAGCAATGTTACTTAAATCTACAAGGGGGAAAGGGAAGAGATTTCCCAGTAGTCTGCAGAATTAAATGTTTTGAGAAGCAAGAAGTAGGGAAATGAGGGGGTGGGCAGTGGATGGGATGAGACGTCAGTGCAAGAGTCATAGAATGAAAGCTTAACTTTCTTAATTTCTCGTTAGAGAGACAAGGGGGGGCGAGGTAATATCTTTTATTGGATGAATTTCTGTTGGGGAGAGAGACAAGCTTTTGAGATGACATAGAGCAGTCATCCAATACGTAGTATCAAAAATCATAGGGCCTACTTCTTGCAAACACTTTCTACCAAAAAGAAAAGGAGTACTTGTGGCACCTTAGAGACTAACCAATTTATTTGAGCATGAGCAATAAATGGACACAAATCAGTTGTCAAGAATTATAACATTCATAAACCAGTCGGAGAACACTTCAATCTCTCTGGTCACGCAATCACAGACATGAAGGTCGCTATCTTAAAACAAAAAAACTTCAAATCCAGACTCCAGCGAGAAACTGCTGAATTGGAATTCATTTGCAAATTGGATACTATTAATTTAGGCTTAAATAGAGACTGGGAGTGGCTAAGTCATTATGCAAGGTAGCCTGTTTCCTCTTGTTTTTTCCTACCCCCCCCCCCCCCCAGATATTCTGGTTTAACTTGGATTTAAACTTGGAGAGTGGTCAGTTTAGACCAGCAGGAGAGTGAGTTTGTGTGTGTATGGGGGTGGGGGGGAAGTGAGAGAACCTGGATCTATGCAGGAAATAGCCCGACTTGATTATGTAAAGAGTTGTCACTTTGGATGGGCTAGCACCAGCAGGAGAGTGAATTTGTGTGGGGGGGTGGAGGGTGAGAAAACCTGGATTTGTGCTGGAAATGGCCCACCTGCTGATCACTTTAGATAAGCTATTACCAGCAGGACAGTGGGGTGGGAGGAGGTATTGTTTCATATTCTCTGTGTGTATATAAAGTCTGCTGCAGTTTCCACGGTACACATCTGATGAAGTGAGCTGTGGCTCACGAAAGCTCATGCTCAAATAAATTGGTTAGTCTCTAAGGTGCCACAAGTACTCCTTTTCTTTTTGCGAATACAGACTAACACGGCTGTTCCTCTGAAAACTTTCTACCAAGTGTAGCACTTACTGATTTGAGTAGTCCTGTTAGACTTTAATGGGACTACTCATGGCATTAAACACTAGCACTCATTATTATGCTGTTTTTTAGAATCAAGACATCTAATTAAGTCTGTTACCTGTTTTGTTTTATGAATTAAGTTTGAAGCAGACCGACGTGCCTTTATCATCACCATTAATTCATTTGGCACGGAGCTGAGTAAAGACGACAGAGAGAAACTATATCCAACTTGTGGAAAACTTTATCCAGAAGGCTTACACCTCCTGGCCAATGCAGAGGACTATGAGCAAGTGAAGTGTGTGGCAGATTACTATGCAGTATGTAAGATGTTTCAAATGTCTTTCAATATTCCAGGATGTTGGCTTCCAAGAAAAGCCCTGCACTACAAGATGAAAACATTTTTTAAAAAGTCAAGTATCCAACACAAGTATCAAATTCAAAGGATCCAAAATGACGGTATATTGAATCAAAGGCTTTCAGTACAGGAAATTGAGAACATTGAAGTTATTGCATTAGTGTAGTACAAGTGCCCATCACAGAGACATGAAAGTAGGGCCAAATCATACCTTCCTACAAGCAAAACTGTTCCCATACCACAAAGGTCCCAAGAAACTCAGGTTCATTTTTTGGCAGTGAAGACAAGTCTGACATTTCTTGGCAGATTATGGTTCCCCCTTGTCCCAAGGTAGTTCTGGTCCCCATGTATCCACCCCCATCCTGTAGGGACCCTGGGACCCAGGCCTCCCTCAGCCGGAAAGTTTCCCCTCTCTTTTACCTGCACAGTGCATGAGCCAGTACCGCCAGCAGTCAAGTTATCAGCGGATTCTTCTGCACTCTGTACAGAAACAAGCTCCCCATGTGCTGGGCTGCCACATCATTTAGCCCAGTCGCCCCTCTGTTTGAACAGAGCAGTGGTGGGGACAAATTTCACTGGTGTTGTGACCACTCAGCTGGAGTGATGCTCCAGACTGCTCCGGCAGCAGCTGTACTGATTTAGCACAGGATCACTGCTTAAAAGTGATTGGGATATCCCTCTCCAGTTCCACAGCCCATGGTACTTTGAGTAAGTGCAAAAATCTTGGTGTGTGGGGCTGCCTCCGCATCTAGAGCCCTCACCTAACTGGCACCGCTGCTTCTCAGTTGTTACCTCAGGGAAGAGGGGTTTAGGTAGCCATGAAAATGCAGGCTGTATTCTTCCAAACCTACAGATCATAGGGATTTACAGAAAAGGGGTCCAAGCCCCCATAGGACCTCCCTGTCCACTGGCAGCATGGCTCCTACATAAGTTGCACTGCCACTGGAGAGGCATGTCACACATGCACACACAAACGTTCTCTGTGAGGAGGGTGAAGCAACAGAGACTAAGCGAATGCTACTTGCAGCAGTCTTGATCGGTGTCTACACTGTGCTATGTCAGCAGAAGACGCTCTCCTGTCGATGTAATGCATCTTCACCAGATGCGCTACATTGGTGCCCTCCTTTCACACACACACACACAAAAAAAAAAAAAAAAGCATGCGGGGAGATAGGGTTCTATCAGATCTTTGTAGTGAATTTTGTGGTTCAGCCTCCCTTCTACAACACAAGTTGGATCACAAATTAATACATACAGATTGCACCCATATTTTGCATCTGCTAAACGAACTGTGAATGTAAGCATGATTTTTGTGCTTCTAGCTACTTGACCTGCATTCACAAGATGGAGGCTGCCTTTCTGAAAATGTGTTTCTAAGTCACTGAAGAAGTCCTAAAGTAAATGGGGTAGTTGTACTCATGCAATAGCAAACCCCTTACAGTTCTCTCATTTAAATTAAAGTTCAGAGGGAAAAGTGGAGGACAAGCAAGGGCAAATGCCACCATTTTTCTCCTTCAGTGCATATTTGCATGGTCCATGCATTCTAGACAATCAAGTACAGTCTGCATGGGTTCCTATTTACAGAAAGATTACTTAATGTAGAGAAGGTTTGTTTGATTTTGATAAATAGGATGAATTAACATTTCTCATTGGTGATGGTTTGTGCTTCTAGGAATACAAGGCTATGTTTGAAGGGGTAGGAAATGGTACGGGAGAAAAGACACTGGAAGATGCATTTTTTGAACATGAGGTAAGACGTTCCACCTCTAAATGTATTACTATCAAAACAATTTTACTCATCTGTGACAGGGAGTGGTGGTCGTCATTCAGTAGATAGTGCTATTTCTTCTGAGTCTATACTGACCCAATAACCCAACATTGTGTTAGGACACACTGCACTGTTATAATTGGTATATTTGGAGGAGACAAAACAGAAGGCTTCACTTTCTAAGTAAAACAAATGCCAGGGCACCCTTTGAAAGTGTGCGATTGCAGGTTTAAAGCCTCATGGTATGGCCAAATTCCATCTCAAGCAATTATAAACCATTTACTGAAATTTCCTCTGCAATATCCATAGGAGACGGCATTTATTTCCTGCCCTAAATTCTTGGATGATGTTTCTGTGATCTGTTAAAGAGTTGCCACAATTAAACCAGACATTGCTGCATTTTGATCATGCTTTTAGTGGGCAGATCCCTCGTTATAGTTAGTTAAGTTTGTAAAGTGCTTAAGAATCCTATTCTTCTTTAATGCATCATTTTAAAGATAGTTCTGATTTAATGTTTTTCCTTAGGTAAAAATGAATGTGCTTGCCTTCAATAACCAGTTCCATTTTGGAGTGTTCTACGCTTATGTCAAGCTGAAGGAACAAGAAAGCAGAAATATTGTCTGGATTGCTGAGTGCATTTCCCAGAGACATAGAACAAAAATTAACAACTACATTCCGATTTTCTAATTCAGATAATTTATAGTTCTAGAGTGCACAAACAGAAACAATTTGTGAATACTGAAGAACATTTTAAAAAAGTTTTTCACAGATTTTACAAAATGTATTAATGGTCACCTTTATACATAGCACAATGGAAACAAAACAAAAACTAAGATCATAGATACAAGTATTTTCCCCTTTATCAGATAATAATTGACTGAATCTTATTTTTAGCTGTTTTTACCCCCTCAATATGCTCATTTTAATTTAGTTGGTCAATAAAAATTGCCTACAGGTTCCTGTTTGTTTATTCTTTGCCTCCCATGCCAATATAAGTGTCACGTCTGTGTTTTGCACTAGTGGTTTTTGGAAGTCTCATCAGAAGGTTTAATTTGAGAAACTAACTAGCAGTTTTCTCAAAGGACATGGTTTGATACATGCCAGTAGAGCCACCTTTTTCAATCCTAGAAGATCATAGTTAAGTGAAAGTTAAGGATCTCTTAACGCTGCTGTTACAAGGGACAAGAAGGACTAACTGGGGGAATAGCGAGATAGACAAAACCTGTGACGGTCCCCTTGCAGCTCTTCCACCACTTTCTTCCTTCTAGCTAGGGTTGCCAAATTTCTAATGGCACAAAACTGAACAACTTCACCCTGTCTCTTCTCTGAGGCCCCACCCCCACTCACTCCAGCCCCCCCCCCCCCCCATCACTTGCTCTCCCCCACCCTCACTCACTTTCATTGGGCTGCGGCAGGGGGCTGAAATGCAGGAGGGGGTGAGGGCTCCAGAGTGGGACCAAACATGAGGGGTTCAGGGTGTGCGAGCGGGCTTTGGGCTGGGGTAGCAGTGTGGGCTCCAGATGGGGGTGTGGGCTCTGGGGTGGGGCTGGGAATGAGCAGTTTGGGGTGCAGGAGGGGCCTCAGGGCTGTGGCAGGGGGTTTGGGTGTGGGAGGGGGTGCAGGCTCTGGGAGGGGGCTTAGGGCTGGGGTAGAGGATTGGGGTGCAGGAGGGAGTGTGGGCTCTGGGAGGGAGTTTGGGTGAGGGTGGGGGTTCCGACCTGGGGCAGAAGGTTGGGGTGCAGGGTCTGGGAGGCAGTTTGGGTGCGCAAGGGGGGTCCGACCTAGGGCAGAGGATTCAGGATGTGGACTCTGGCTGCGCGGTGCTTGCCTCAGGCAGCTCCTGATCAGCAGTGCAGTGGGGCTAGGGTCTGCCCTAGCTTCGCGCTGCTCCTGGAAGTGGCCAGCATGTTTGGCCCCTAGGCGGAGGCATGGCCAGGTGGCTCTGTGCAGGGTGCATTGCTTGCACCCCCAGGTGCTGCCCCCTGCAGCTCCCATTGGTCACGGTTAGCCAATGGGAGCTGCGGAGCAGGCACTGAGGGCGCAGGGCATATGTGGAGCTTCCCTGATTGCCCCTGGACCTACGGGCTGCAGGGACATGCTGGCCACTTCTGGGAGCTGTGCAGGGCCAGAACAGGCAGAGAGCCTGCCTTAGCCCCACTGCGCCACCAACCGGACCTTTAATGGACTGGTCAGCAGTGCTGACCAGAGCCGCCAGGGTCCTTTTTCGACCGAGCATTTTGGTAGAAAACCAGACGCCTGGCAACCCTACATCTAGGATGTGAGCACTAAACTTCACCAAATTCCATAGACATGGAGCCAGTGGTGTAGAGGTCAAGAGACTGTAACCATGGGAGGCACTCAGATACCATGTTTTAAGTACCATAGGAGAATCAAGATGATTATATACATTCAAACTTCAGAAAAAAAAAATTCCTTAGAAAGCCACAACTTAGATAAACATCTCTTAAATTTCAGATGTAACTGATGAGTTAAATACCAGAACTTCCCATGCTGTTTTGGATACTTATGAATTGTACGGAAAACCAAAGATGTTAATGTACTGCATGAATCATTGTACAGAAGAATACCAGTGCTTTAAATTATAGAATCATAGAATCATAGAATATCAGGGTTGGAAGGGACCCCAGAAGGTCATCTAGTCCAACCCCCTGCTCAAAGCAGGACCAATTCCCAGTTAAATCATCCCAGCCAGGGCTTTGTCAAGCCTGACCTTAAAAACCTCTAAGGAAGGAGATTCTACCACCTCCCTAGGTAACGCATTCCAGTGTTTCACCACCCTCTTAGTGAAAAAGTTTTTCCTAATATCCAATCTAAACCTCCCCCACTGCAACTTGAGACCATTACTCCTCGTTCTGTCATCTGCTACCATTGAGAACAGTCTAGAGCCATCCTCTTTGGAACCCCCTTTCAGGTAGTTGAAAGCAGCTATCAAATCCCCCCTCATTCTTCTCTTCTGCAGGCTAAACAATCCCAGCTCCCTCAGCCTCTCCTCATAACTCATGTGTTCCAGTCCCCTAATCATTTTTGTTGCCCTTCGCTGGACTCTCTCCAATTTATCCACATCCTTCTTGAAGTGTGGGGCCCAAAACTGGACACAGTACTCCAGATGAGGCCTCATCAATGTCGAATAGAGGGGAACGATCACGTCCCTCGATCTGCTCGCTATGCCCCTACTTATACATCCCAAAATGCCATTGGCCTTCTTGGCAACAAGGGCACACTGCTGACTCATATCCAGCTTCTCGTCCACTGTCACCCCTAGGTCCTTTTCCGCAGAACTGCTGCCTAGCCATTCGGTCCCTAGTCTGTAGCTGTGCATTGGGTTCTTCCGTCCTAAGTGCAGGACCCTGCACTTATCCTTATTGAACCTCATCAGATTTCTTTTGGCCCAATCCTCCAATTTGTCTAGGTCTTTCTGTATCCTATCCCTCCCCTCCAGCGTATCTACCACTCCTCCCAGTTTAGTATCATCCGCAAATTTGCTGAGAGTGTAATCCACACCATCCTCCAGATCATTTATGAAGATATTGAACAAAACCGGCCCCAGGACTGACCCTTGGGGTACTCCACTTGATACCGGCTGCCAACTAGATATGGAGCCATTGATCACTACCCGTTGAGCCCGACAATCTAGCCAGCTTTCTACCCACCTTGTAGTGCATTCATCCAGCCCATACTTCCTTAACTTGCTGACAAGAATACTGTGGGAGACTGTGTCAAAAGCTTTGCTAAAGTCAAGAAACAATACATCCACTGCTTTCCCTTCATCCACAGAACCAGTAATCTCATCATAAAAGGCGATTAGATTAGTCAGGCATGACCTTCCCTTGGTGAATCCATGCTGGCTGTTCCTGATCACTTTCCTCTCATGCAAGTGCTTCAGGATTGATTCTTTGAGGACCTGCTCCATGATTTTTCCAGGGACTGAAGTGAGGCTGACTGCCCTGTAGTTCCCAGGATCATCCTTCTTCCCTTTTTTAAAGATTGGCACTACATTAGCCTTTTTCCAGTCATCCGGGACTTCCCCGGTTCGCCACGAGTTTTCAAAGATAATGGCCAATGGCTCTGCAATCACAGCCGCCAATTCCTTCAGCACTCTCGGATGCAACTCGTCCGGCCCCATGGACTTGTGAACGTCCAGCTTTTCTAAATAGTCCCTAACCACCTCTATCTCCACAGAGGGCTGGCCATCTCTTCCCCATTTTGTGATGCCCAGCGTAGCAGTCTGGGAGCTGACCTTGTTCGTGAAAACAGAGGCAAAAAAAGCATTGAGTACATTAGCTTTTTCCACATCCTCTGTCACTAGTTTGCCTCCCTCATTCAGTAAGGGGCCCACACATTCCTTGGCTTTCTTCTTGTTGCCAACATACCTGAAGAAACCCTTCTTGTTACTCTTGACATCTCTGGCTAGCTGCAGCTCCAGGTGCGATTTGGCCCTCCTGATTTCATTCCTACATGCCCGAGCAATATTTTTATACTCTTCCCTGGTCATATGTCCAACCTTCCACTTCTTGTAAGCTTCTTTTTTATGTTTAAGATCCGCTAAGATTTCACCATTAAGCCAAGCTGGTCACCTGCCATATTTACTATTCTTTCGACTCATCGGGGTGGTTTGTCCCTGTAACCTCAACAGGGATTCCTTGAAATACAGCCAGGTCTCCTGGACTCCTTTCCCCTTCAAGTTAGTCCCCCAGGGGATCCTGGCCATCCGTTCCCTGAGGGAGTCGAAGTCTGCTTTCCTGATTTATTACAATTATTTTGTAATAAATATTACAATTATTACAATTATTTTGTAATAACTTCAGTTGACAATTTTCTTTAGGAACATATTACAGCATTAGGAATTTTTTTAAAAGCTTGTAATTAATGAGGAAATATAAGTCACTGTTTAAAAGAAATTCACTACACTGTAAGTCTATTTGGTATCTCTGAACCACCTTATCTTGTAACCCTACATTATCAGTGAAGGAACAAAATATGCACACCATGTAGAATCAAGCACATGGGTTTATTACGCACAGCACTGGTGGAGTGTCACCTTGCTTATTAGGCTCAGAGACACTGCCAAACAATTGATTACAATAGATTATATGGATTTTCCATGGGCGGAGGGAAATGACGGGGTAGGCAGCCCCAGACCCCTGGATAGGTCCAACAGCAAGACAAGATAAGCACAGTAGCCAATAGTCAAAGATTACATAATGTTTTCGCCCATGGTTTCAGGTTAACACATGACACTTAATTAGTACACAGGTGTTTTCCTTTAAACAATACATAGAGTGTGTTAGTATAAAATATATACGTTGAATTCTGATTTGGGATCCATAGGAATGAAGTAGCTCCCCTGATTGTCCGACAGGTACACACCTAGGAGTTAAAGCAAAAGGACAAATGGATAGTCTTTTAGTTGTTCATTTGTGTTTCTAAGGCAGGCACTGGCAATGGCTTGGAGGAGAGGTGTACATCTGTGAGAGGGAGGATATCATATCTCATACTGACATGTTTGAACCTCTTCCATAAACTCAAGGCTGGTGTGTAGGAAGGCACCTCTTCTACAGAAGAAACAGGGCCCCTTTCATTCCTTTGGTCTGTTTGCAACTTTGAGATAAAGCCACCAATTATAATTTCCACCTGGCTTCTTGCTGACCAAGCTTATCTTAGCAAAAAGCAAGGTTGTCCTTTGTTTGTTCTGCTTCTTTGCTAATATTATTCACTATTTGCTAGGCCTTGGTCTTCTTGACCAAACTCTGGATTTTGGAGCCTGTAAAAAGAGCCTACACAGTCTATATATCAGGTTGTAACATGGATTTTAGCCCTTCAATCAGGAAACAAAATAGTACTATAAAAGGACAATATACTGACAGGTTAGGGTTTTGTAGAATTATTATTCTATTTTTGGTATATATAATTGCTTGCTTGCATTATTTTTACTATCTTGTTTTTCTAAAT